GCAATGGAGAAAAAAGATTCATGTAGTTGACCCCACGTAGTGGGGGGATTAAGGCTTTGTTGTTGTTGTTGTATTCATAAACTCAAAAGAATTATAAACGTTATCATCCCACTAGAAAATAATTTCTCATTTCTTAATATATCATATTTAATAAAAAAATTCCTTCTTTGATCAGATTTATCTTCAAGAAGAGAATAATCAAATAGAATATAACCCTGATAACAAAAAAGGCATTTTATACCTAAATTGCTTTACTACTGTTACACAAGAAAGTCAACCTAATGATCCAATTAAGATTAATACTTAGTTACTATACCAATATAGGTTTATAGAATGAGAACAAAGACATCCAAATTCTCTTGCAAGTTCAAAATAAAGGGCCATTATTTGATAACCTTGCTACCTTTTCTAACAAAGTTCTTGAGCAACTGCAACCACTAACAAATAAAAAAGATTTTAAAATATGTACCAAACATCTCCGATACCTCATAACTCAATGGACATCATCTGCAAACTTCACTCATACGCAAAAAGCCTTTCTAATAAATGTTCATAACATTAAATTTTAATCTATTAGGACATTTAATTTAGAAGAGGTAGAAAAGAACTACACTTAGGAAATAGTTGAGTTACTAGGAAAAAAGTGTTACAGGATATAAGTTAGTTTTTAAATTAAAATATAAAGTTGATGAGAGCCTAGAAAGATATAAAGCCAAGTTAATAGCAAAATGAAACACCCAAACCAATAAAATTGACTACTAGGAGATATTTGCTACAAACATAAAAATAAATATTATTCACATCCTGGTCTCTTTGGCCGCCAACTTAAAAAGGTCCATGCAAAATTACAATAAATGCTACTTTTTTGGATGGTGATGTAAAAGAAACAACTTTTTTTCCAAAAATCAGTTATGCAAACAAAAAAAACTTACTATAAGAGTAGATACAATTTCAAAGAAATTCTTAATGTGCAAGTAGATTATTGTTGACCTCATTTTTATAATTATATAATTACTACAAATGAGAAATAAGTTGTTGGCAACCTCTCTTCTTGACTCTCTTTGTTCTACTCAGCCACAAGCAATTCCCCATCAATCCCACTCTCACATGTTCTTGATCCCATCTTATTTCCCAATATCTTGGCCTAACTCATTTTCTTTCCCTCCATTTCTTCCACTTATTGCCCTATATCTCAAGTGAATCCCAATTCAAGATTCAGTCTTGCTGCCACCTTCAACAGGTAGTTCGTGCAACAGGTTGGGATAGGTCAACAAACTACTTTTTAAGAACAAGCACGCGTATATAAATGTATACGTATACATGCATGTATATAAGTGTCTTCGGATAGTTGTACTCCAATTTAATAGTTTCATCTCAATTTTATTTCTTTTAGTATTTTGTGTTTTATTCTTCCATCTTCAAATTTGTGTTCAAGATCCTCAAAAATTGTTATCTAAGTGCCTTCAAAATGTACAGGTCATAAAGCATGCAACACCGACAAGAAAAAGATCCAAAGGCCATCCTCCTCCAATCTTTGTTGCAGAACCAAGCACACAATCAAACTCTTTTGTAGGAACAGAAGAGTACATAGCTCCAGTATGATATTTCTACTATTTTTAAGATGCCACTAGTCATTTTCATATATCATTAGTTTTCTTCCGAAATTGTAAAATCAATGTGGCTGATCATATTCCGGTATTTAGCCAATGCTTTACTAATCATGCCTGAATGGAAGGTCGTGCGCTGTCATTTCCGTTCTAGAAGTCACTTGAAAATAATGGTAACAAGAGATCCATAAAAAAAAACAAACATGTAGGCAACATCGTGAACCAGTACTTGATCTTAGTGAATAGGTATGCTTTCATTACCAATTTGTTAATCCCACCAAGATTAAAAATATTAAACTAGACTTCCAACAAGGAAATCTTTAAAATCATCAACAAAATGCACTAAATCACAAGAATAGTGTCAATTCTCTAGCTCGACATTTATCACTCCAGCAAAAAACAAGTTTGACTCGATTGAGTTCAGGTCAATGATCTATCTTTCAAGCTGACAAGGTAAAAATAAGACTAGAGAATAGCATAATAAATTCTGTATATAGACGCTCAACTAGCAAACAAATTTGCATTCAAGAAGGTCAAAATATAGCTTTACAATTTTTCTATGTCGTGATCAGGGTCTAGATTGAATGTATTTAGGATGCAAATGCCAGCATAGCACCTTTACATAAAGTAATCAAACATGAATTCAACATAACTCCTTTACTACAAATGTAACCACTTCCACTTGCCCTTTGAATATGAAATATGATAGATTGAAGAGCAGATTTAATGCAGCTGCAAGCTCAATGAGAGGACAATAGTACATGGTGAAAATTTTATTGATTTTTTTCCATTAGAAGATATATTAGGATGCTTTTTATTTCCTGTTATTTCTTATTTTTGTATTTTCTTTTATTTTTATAGGAGTTTATGTTTTTAGTTTATTGATTTGATTCTTATAGTCTTGGAGATATGGGTGTTATATCTTTCCTGAGTTAGGATTCTAGTGAGTTGCATTTAAGCCAACATTTTGTAGCAATAAAATTATTCTGCTCAATTCTCCAAAACTACATAAGTTTCAGAGCAAGGGATCTTAGCCTAGCTTTTGAGCCTTCACCTGCCTGGCCGAATTCCCTATCTACAATCAGAACTCCTCCCTGCGGGCCTCATTTCTCCCTACAGGCCTCCTTCCCGGCAGGAACTCCCAAGTTTTTCTCCAAGGACGATACTCCTTGTTGAGGGAATTCCCTGTTGTAGTCCCTATTCCTTGCTGGAACTCCTTCCTACAAGCGAAAATAAAACGAAATACATAAATAGAAAATAACAGAAGATAAATATGAAAAATTTTATGTGGGATAAAGTAACAAGCACTAATAAATAAGTGGCAAAGGATATACTTAGAGAATTAAAAGGAAAAATTTTTATAAATAAAAAAAGTTAGTGGTGAAAGAATAATGTGAACAGAAATAAATTATAAGAAGTTGTGTTACAAAAATTGATTTAAATGTAAAAGCTTAGAGAACTGGGAAGGAAAAATATAATGTGGCTTGTAGGGAGTTTAAGAGAATAATTTATGATAGTAAGAATTTTGTTTTTTGTGATCTTTATAATAGATTAGACACAAAAGATGGCGAAAAATATATGTATAGACTAGTCAAATAAAGAGAATAGAAAAATAAATATTTAATTCAAGTAAAGTGTATTAAAGAAGATACTAAATATATGTGGATGAACTATTTTGACAATTTTTTCACTGAGTTTATGAAAATAATACAATCGATATTAGTGATCTTAATATCATTAACAGTAATAAAAGTTTTTATTTTTACAGTCGCATTAGTAAAAAGGAACTCAATAAGGCTTTAAAAAAAAACTAAGTGTGAAAAATTAATAGGATCTAATGATATCCTTATTAAAGTGTGGAAATATCTAGGATATTTGGGAGTGTCTTGGCTTACAAAAGCCTTCAATATTATTTTAAAAATTAAAAAGACACTCGAGGAGTGGAGGAAGAGTATTTTGTCCCCCATTGTTAAGAATAAAAGGGATGCACAATAGTGTGCAAATTAGAAAGGAATTAAATTAATGTGTCATACTTTAAAATTATGGGAGAGGGTAATTGAACATAGGTTAAAATGTGATACAAATATTTCTCATAATTCGTTTGGATTTAGGCCTGGCAAATTGTGATACAAATATTTCTCATAATTAGTTTGGATTTAGGCCTGACAAATCTATTATAGAAGGTATACATTTATTGAGAGGTGTGATGGAGAAGTACTGAGAGAGGAGGATCTACATATGATTTTTATTGATCTAGAAAAAGCTTACGATAAGGTTCCAAGAGAAGTTTTTTGGAGAGTTCTAGAAAGAAAGGTGTTGATATGACTTATATTCAAGTCATTAAAGATATGCCTACTAGAGTTGTTACTTGTGTTCGAACAAAAGGAGGATTGACCAAAGTATTTTTCTATTTCAAATGGATTACATTAAGGATTGGCTTTTAAGTCCATATCATTTTGCTTTAGTTATAGATGCTCTTACTTGACCTATACAGGATAAAGTACCTTGGTGTATGCTTTTCATTGATGATATCCTTCTTTTGGAAAGACTAGAGAAAGAGTTCTAGAAAAACTTGAATTATGGAGTCTTCATTGGAGTCTAAAGATCTTCATTTGAGTAGATCTAAAACTGAAAACATAGAATGTAATTTCAGTCGTAGTAGTTCTAGTGGCAGAATTTTTACTATAGGTGATCAAATCATTAAAAGGTTTTAACGCTTTAGATATCTAGGGTCTATTGTTCAAAGTGATGGTGATATAGCTGGGGATTTTATTTTGGTTGAAGTGAAGGAATACATCGGGCCTGTTGTGTGATAGAAAAGTATCACTTAGACTTGAAGAAAAATAAAGTACCACTTAAACTGAAAGGAAAATTTTATAAAATGGTGGTGAGACCTGCAATGATTTATGGTGTGGAATGTTGGCCTTTAAAAAGAAGCATAAAACAAAGTTAGGTGTTACTGAAATGAGAATGGTTAGGTGGATGAGTGGCTTGACACTTAAGAGACAAAATGTGAAAGAAATCTATTCGTGAAGGATCGATGTAGCTCCAACTACAAACAGGATTAGAGAGAATCACCTTAGATGGTTCAGTCACATTAAACATCACCATTCAACGATCCAGTTAGGAAAGTAGATGTTTTAGATTTAACTTATGTTAGGACAGGCAAAGGTAGGCCTAAAAAGGCCCGGGCATATTGTATAAAAAATGATCTTAATCTATTAGAATTAAATGAAAAAATGACACTCAATAGGATACATTGGAGAAAAAGGTTTTATGGAGCCAACCCTACTTAGTGAGATAAAGGCTTTTGTTGGTTGTATTGCATTTCTAACAAAGTGCTACAAAATTGAAAATAAATAGGTAATCATTTACATAAATTAAAGTCTACTAACATAATCAAATATGCTCAATATGTAAGAAACTCTAAATGTAAATGCATAACGAGTAGATTTACTTATGAGCAACAACGAACATTAATCCTATAAATATTTCACTTCTTATTTTAGCAATTAAGTATCTCATGTCGATCAGTAGGTCAACCTGATGATGAATTTTTTCTCTACACCTCACCCCAAGCTCAGTTCCCTACATAAACACTCTAGCAATAACAAATTCATTTAAATTTTATGAATTTCTTAAATCAAACTTAATTTAATACATTGATAATCTCAATTAATGCTTTTACCTCAATTTGACTTTTTCATACAAACTTTGTGAAAGCTAGAACAAAATGGGAAAATTTCTAGCCAAGCATACTTCCTTACCCTTCTTCATCCTTAATTCCTTTGTATAGCCCCATAACCCAAAATTTGTTTACAGCTACAGGTTTGACAAGCTGAAAAGCACAATAAATTGGAAAGAAATAAGAGTGATTACTTAGGTTAAATGAAATCAACTATAAGTAGATATGTATATATACACATTTACTTCAATTGTCTTACCTCCAAGCCTCTATTGCCCATTAAATATATCAATTTTCCTTCTCCAATCCCAAACCCGAGAGTCTATTAGCGGGTCCCTGCCTCCAGCATGGTTTGCCCAGGTCGCAAAAATATAAGGGAAAAACAAAGGAAATACATGGAAGTAAATGGGCCTAGATTATCGATAATACCTAATTTCATTTAACTAATTAATTGTTACCGCCGAATGCGTCAAGTTGTTGCATGCCAACTTGGGTGGAGTGGCTACAGTAAAATTTCTTCTGAGAATTGAAAAATAATCTACTGTATGAATAGTAACATTAAAATAAGTTTAGTTATTTTAGGGAAATAATTTTATAAAGCTTAATTTACTAATTATATATACTTACTTCTATATATCAAATAAATCAAAATAAACTGTACAATTTTATAAAAATAATTTTGACAATCTTAAAAGGTGTGAAAAATGGGTATAATTTAGAAAAAAAAAGTAACTTGCTATTTTTATCAAATTCGGTATTCCATGCATCCACTGCAGCAATCAATGAAAGAAAAGCAATTCAAGGCTGTAACCAAGTAGAGATTTTCCTTATAAGTTGGATTGTACCAATCAACTAGAATGAAGACTCCAAAACTTGAGGCACTGCAGAATCCAAGTGATTGTAACAGTATGACAATTCCGAATGTTAAAAAACTGCTGCTTCCCTTTTTTATCATTGAAACTAGTAAATCTGCTCCTTCGTTTACAACAACCTATGCAAACACTAATCCTCGCACTAGCGGGTACAGATTGATAAAAGTACCTTGTTTGTCACAAACTTGCTTCCCAAATTTATTAACCACTAATGACTTAGGCTTCGTTTGAACGAGCTTTGGCGAAGCTCCTTCAAAAGTCAAGTGGCGGAACTAGTCTCGTCGTCACCGTTCTAAAACGGCAAAAATTCTCCGTTCTTGTTATACAATGTCTGGAGACATTCCAAAAACGCTCTGTCGCCAAACGTAAATTTTTCCAAGCGGCGGCATTCCGGGCAATAGAACGGAAGTTCAATGCGTTCTCAAACAAAGCCTTAGCATGTGCAATATTGCAGTACAAATTAAAACAAAACTATCATCTCTTCCACGTGGAGTGCTAAATTATGCCACTGTTCATGTTAAAAGCAAAGAATGGCACATAAATTAACATGCTGTGATATATTTCAATCTATTTTTTTAACTCTGTTGCTATCAGATTCCAGCTGTATTCTACAGAAATGTCACACTTCTAGTATAGGATGCAATCAAAAATTTGAAATTTCATAGTCAAAAAAAGAGGAAAAGAGTCTTAAGTTTCATACTGTTAATATAATTTGCATTGTTTAGGGCATTCAGACTTGAATGAAAAAATGGAATCCTCTGTTCATCATATAGCTCTATGTTTTCCAAGGCCAATGGAATCATTTTGTCATCTTATGAAAATTATTTTTTCAGTCTCAAATAGATTAGATATTCAACAATCTTAACAAAAATTAGATTCAACTTTATTATAAATTTTGACAACTTGGGATAATGTTTTTTGACCTAACATCTGTCTTTCAGGAAATCATCACTGGTGCAGCCCATAGCAGTGCCATTGACTGGTGGGCCCTTGGTATGGAAATCATCATTTTGTAGCCATCTCTACTTAACAATAAAATTATCACTAATTCTGACATAAAATAAAATTTAATAATTCATATGGTGCATTATTATTGTAAAGTGTAAGGGTAATTCAGAAGCATAAAGGAAAATAATCTCAATTTTAGGAACGCACACAACCAAAATATATATTCATTTGCATGGGCGTTTGCATATTCATGCCATCTCAGAACAAATAGTAATCCACATCAGTCCAAAAAAAGAACACCAACAGTTGATACTATATTTGTGAAAGTGAATTTGTAAGTTTCACAGGAAGACAGGCACTTTATATATCGAGTCTTCCAGAACTAGACCACTTGGGAACTGAATGACACATCTATTATGATAAATGGGGCATTATAACCTGATCATGCTATTTTCATTGATACAATATTCGTACATTATGTTTTGAACCCTCAATTTTTTGATTGCCTTTGTCAACAAACATTCATTTCGTGTTCAGTTTGATAGCTTCAAGCTATATCCACCATTAAATCTCATCTCAAGACTCCCAAGTACCAAGGTTTTGTATGATAAAACATTAAGATTGGCTTTTTATGAAAGTTTGCAGTTTCTGCTGAATGATTAGTAGACCTTCGTACCGATTAGTCCTTCAGTTTTCCAAATTATATCATTATGTCATCCCTTATACTTTGTTCGCCAGTAACTGGCTACAAGTAGCAACAGTTACATGCGTGAAGTAGCTGACCACCAACCAACCTCTTTACAGCCCCAAAAAATAATCATAATTTAAGTGAGAGAGAGAGAGATTATCGTCTCCATAAAGCACAATTATTTGCACTGCCAGACCAGAGTAAGGGTGCAAGAGTAAGAAAAAAGAAAAAAAGAATGGATGGTAAAATATCCATATTTTATTAAGCATATTTTTATCATTTGTCAATATCAATGGAAAATCTAATAGAAAAAAAAAACTGAAATTATAAACATAAGAGATCAAAATGGAAAGGTCTGCAAAATAATAACTGGGTCAAATTCTAATATTGAACAAAACTGTAACACTAAACTGCAAAACACAAACAGTACATGGAAATGATTTTAAGGTAAATATCAAACTTTTGACTAGCATATGAGAGTACAAGAAATTTCAATTTTATCAGTTGCTGACAGCCAAAAAGCCATCAAAGAAGCTCGTCAAACATTATAAAATGTGCCATTAATGCTATCCCTTATGACACTTTGCATTCTTTTTCCGGGGCAAAATGCACCTTACCTTAGACAAAAGCTTATTGGAGATCATGAAGGTCGTATAAACGCAATATAAACATAGAGTAAAAAGTCATGCATTATTTGCCTAAGGCAGTACAATCCTCTTCATGTTGCCACAGTTGCCCACATCACCACTTCTTTTTGAAAAACGACAATTGCATTTTCCCATCTGCTAGAAAACTTGTTTCACAAATCTATGTTTAGAAACCAAATAATTATTGAATGACTTATTCTCATATAAATCTATAAAAAAAGAAAGAAAATATAATGTATGTTCAAGCAAAGAAAACCTCCCTTGCCTAAACTTGATGGGCAAATATAAAGACATTCCTGTGACCCTGATGTAGTTATCTTAATAATCTTCTAACTGCATTTTCATTCTGAACATGCAGGAATATTACTATATGAGATGCTGTATGGCCGTACACCATTTAGGGGAAAGAACAGACAAAAGACATTTGCCAACATTTTGTACAAAGATCTTACGTTTCCAAGCAGCATACCGGTGAGATTAATGTCTAGTAAGAATTTAACAGGCATTCACCCAACTCTTGCATCTGAATCTTCAAGTCATGCCCATATTATGTTTTACTAGCTCATCTACAATCGATCGATAAATTCATATTTTTATTGGAAAGAAGCCAAGTTCAAGACACTACTGATTCTAGCTTACTATAAGTTGATCATCAAAAACATGAATGCCGCTCCATTACACAAATGTTCTGTGATTCTAAAGGCTTCTTAGGCACTCACTAGTACCCTAAGCCCTGAATAAAAGTAAGCACGATTCATACAGACTTTAGACGACAAGTTAGCCTCAGATTTAAAGAATCGTATTAGAGAGCTTTGCACAATTCATGTGAGTTTCGCAGCCCCAAAAGCAAAGGTATAGGAAATTTTATATACATTATTAATAAATTTACATTCCAGTTTTGTTCATTTAACACTAATGAAGCCCTACAGAGTTTTCCGCTTTGGAATAGCTATTATGAAATACACTTCCATTGAGCACTAAAAATAAAAATTATTGAAATTTATTAGGGTTTCAGGCTTTTATAGTTTCGCATTTATTTTATTAGCAGACAATTTGTAAATGAATGGCTGACAAAGGTTCACAAAACAAAAGCATAATAGTTGGAAAACAACTGATAATGAGATAAATGAAATATTTAGTTTTCCCATATAAGCAAACAGATAGGCATGAACAAATTGCAAAGCCTCTAAAAATAGCACCTAGCATGTTTGGGCATGTATATAAATAAATAAAATACAATAAGCTCATAATAAGCATCAGCTTCTCAATTTCAAAGATTCGCCAAATCCAAAAACACACCACAGATATTCAAAGATTGCAAATTGCTTATAGCATAATAATTCATGCTCAACTACAAGCCTCTGCAAACTATTACCCTCATTCAAAATTAGTACTTCAAATAATTATTAGGCTATAAATGAGATACTGCATTGCAAACTTTATAATGAAGGCTGTGTTAAGCTAATCCAACCTCTATGAACATTTCATAGATACAGTATACTTTCCTGGTAATAAAAATGACTAAGTTATACACCTGAATGAAATGAGTGTAATTTTTGGCAGGTTAGCCTTACAGCAAGGCAGTTAATAAATGGATTGCTGCACAGAGACCCAGCCTATCGTTTGGGATCTAACACTGGTGCCAACGAAATCAAGCAGCATTCTTTCTTTCGTGAGATCAATTGGCCACTCATTCGTTGCATGGTAATTTCATTTCATACACATAAATGTATCATTTTCAGCCAAGTGAAAGATGGAAATACGTAAAATAAGTAGCTACTCAAAAAAAATAAGCCAAATTACAGCGTTTTCTTACATTGGGAGGTCTGTTTTGTTGTCAGATCTTCAATCTAATTCATGATGATAATTGTGTCTCTATATCTTCTCCCCATACGTTGCATTGCTATATTCTAAAAAAAAAGTGGCAAGGACATAAAGTAATAACAAATATTACTCAATTAGTATACAATGTCAAGGGTTTATGCTAATAATATCTTCATAGATATGCGAACCAAATATATATATCATCTTCATGGAAAAATATTCCGAAGTAAAACTTAAAAAGGTTCAAGTTGCTGGCAATCAAGGTTAACTTATTCTTAATCCATAATTTACCATATGAATCTGAAGTTTTGATGAGCAGAAGAACAATGATTAAGAAAGTTGCAAGATGCTTCTTCAGAAATAAATTCTATGAGAGGAAGTCCAAAAATCATGATTTCTCTTTTCTTTTTCTCTTTTGCAGAGTATTCCTGAGCTAGATGTTCCTCTTCAATTAACTAGCAAGGAAACAAATTCCAACGCTAAAGATGAAAAATTATATAATGATGTGTGTTGATCCAGAGTATGAAACTTTTATGAGGTAACAAACAAGCAGAGCGGCTAAACTTTTCTTGAATTTCTTATCAAACATTTCCTTATCCTAGATTCTAGTAAAAATTAAACAGAGAAGCGCTAAGAGTTACATATTGTACAAACTGCTGACAAGTTTTGAATTTTGGCGTGTAAGTTTCAGGTGGTAGATCGGTAAGGAAAACAATATGTGCTTAGTTTTGTACTGAATGCTTCTAAGAATTAATCCCAGTGCTCTGTTTTGGGGCAGAAAACACGAGAGATACCTCTCTGCTGAAATGCATGGCGTACACAGCTAAAAAAAGAAAAAAAAGGCAATGCAAAAGGCCTCGAAACTATCTTTTTAGATGAAAATTTCTGAAGATGGTGAACATAAATTTTCAGAATTGTAATATCTAGTATATCATTGAAAAGATCAACAGCCAGCTCTAAAAGAAATATGAAAAAAGAAAAAAATCAATTAGGAGAATAATTAATGATTTCCTGTGTTATTTTGATGTTTTTTATTGTATTAGATCAATAAAAAAATGAGGATGGAGAAATAATAGTCAGACAGAGTTAACTGATAAACAAAGTTAGAATTAACGATTCTTTTATGTAATTGTTTACAAGCTGCATATATTCAACAAAAGGAACAGCTTGCCAAACTGCTTTATTCAAAAATAATTTCATTTTTATTGTAATAAACAAAAAAAATATTGAAGAACTAGTACAAGCAAGTCTATGTTAGAGCCTAGAAACTGTAGTTAGGTTAGCTATGCCTTATGAATTTGAATGTTGAGCAATCAAGGAGTCATTGATAGCCAAATTGAGCATGACAAAAACTAGAATGTTATGATAGATATATGGAAAAATTAGAAATAGAAAATGACTAAATAAAAAAGACTAGGATTAGCGTGATTGGAAATAAAGAGTGAGAATGACTCAAGTGGTTTAGGTATGTATAATGAAGCCAAAAGATGCACCAACATAATAAATAAATAATTTAATGTTGAAAGATTATAAATAAAAAGAGGTTGATTGAAAGTCATATGAGAAGAAGTTGAGCAAAAAAATTTGCGCAAAATAAACTTAGCACAACATACAACACTTACGGGGAAGAATGGAAAATAAAGATTCAAAAATCTGACACACCTTGTTGACATAAAATTACTGGTGATGATGATGAAGACAATAAGACTTGTCTAAAAGGAACAGAAAATATGTATTTCCAGCATAAAGTTCCTCTAATGTCATTAGCAAAGATGTGAAGGAAAGCAGACGTCAAAACCTAAAGAACAATGTTTAGTTGTTCTAGTAAAAGTGGAGTGTGATAATCCAAATAAAAGAGGAAAATGACAAAAGCTTTAGAGATTTTTTTAAATTCATTCATTGAGCTACCGAAGCTAAATCAAGAATATATACAATTCTAAGAAGAGGAGAAAATAATTTTTTATTACAAATTATAGAGACGCCGACTTATGGATCCGTGGCCCTTGAATAATTGAGCTTCGACGCCTGCACCTTGACAAACTGTGAGTTGGAGAACATCATAAATGGCTATAGCGAGAGGTCTGCATCTCAATTTCCTTTTCAAATTTGGGGCCACACGGTCCTTCATACTTAATCTTTATATTCTCAAGAATTATTAACTACAATAGTTCACAGATTCTTAGGCAATTATTATAAACTCAAATTCTACACTTAATCTTGATACTATATGTTATTTCTTATTTATCCAAGTAATGTGCAATACCACAAAAATCGATCTTCTATTCACCGGTGATATTGCATAGTTAAAAATAAAATAGCCTTTAAGTTTTAAAGTTATATTTTTTTATGGACAATTCATTTTCAAGGTTAAATTTTGAATTCATTAAAACTATTTAAGTAGTTTGGAGGTAGGAGTCCTTTTGATTTGTGCGTGCGTTGACTTGAGAAACTTGTCGTAAATTTAATATCGGCAAAGATAAAGGATAGGTAGATTAGTTTTTCAACTAAACATTAACAACATTCTTTGTCAATTAATAGAATCAGTAGATATTATGGTTCATAGAAAGATATATATCTTATGCATTCAAGAAACTAAATGGGTTTGAGATAAGACTAAGAAAATTGATAGCTTAAAAAGATATTCGCAGAATTTATCATGTGGGAACAATACCATCAAGATCAATTATCCAAGTATTATTGAAGCTAATCAAGACAAAAATATAAGGATCAAAAGTTTAAACATTTTGAATCGGAAATAATGACCCAAATAAATTTTTCTCGAGAGTTGAGAAAGTTCACTAACCAATCAATTTTACTTGAGTTGAGTCTTCCAGTCTCCATGAAATGATCATGCACTTTTGAATGGATTTCTAAATATTTGCCATGGTCTTGAGGTCTCACATGCAAATTCAATAAATTTAATTATACCTCTCCTCTTGCAATGCTTTCACCATAAGATAGTTTTATACTAAAATTTATGCCCTTTATCTTTGGAAAGTTTAGTGGTAATCAATCCTCCACCTTGAGTTTGTATGATTTTCATAGTTTACTCTTTTGAGTTTTGTATTCCTAGTTGAACAATCCTCCTTCCTTCATCAGCACACACAAAGGAGAAAGCTTTCATTTAGTAAGGAATGATACCAAGACTTATATGAACTAAATCCTTTAGTTAGATCCCAAAGAAATTCAGAGATTCTATCTTAACATACTATTTTACAACCACAACATTATCGCTACAGTCCATCTTAAAATTTTGGTAATAATCTAACTCTAATTACAAAAATCTTCATTGCATTGAAATATTCAATTATGGACATCATGTTATTGGTAATTCATAGTTTTATCTTGATCTTATAGATGAGAGAAACATCTTTGGCCTTTGAGTATGTTTACCACGTGACTTCCTATACTTCATTAGTTGTTATGCGGAACTTGTAAGGCACATTAATATTAGCAACATGTAGTTCAATAGCGTCATGATATGACATTTAGTCTCTGTCATCCCAATTTATGAACTTTGGATCTTCAAGATTCAGAGAAAGATCAACAAGAAGGTGGAGTTTCTCTTTTCCTTTCAAGAAGATCTTCATTATGACATTTAGTCTCTGTCATCCCAATTTATGAACCTTGGATCTTCAAGACTCAGAGAAAGATCAACAAGAAGGTAGAGTTTCTCTTTTCCTTTCAAGAAGATCTTCATAATCTAAGGCCCCTTTAAATAATTTCTTCCATTTAGCAAATATAAAATTTGTAATCCCTGAGAGTTTTCCTTGAATGGATCTGTCAAGTTCTCATTAGTCAAGATGGTTTATTCTCTTGCTGAGAAGCTCAACTCCTGTACTGGGAGGAGAAAGAAGGAAATAGACTTAAAAGAATGGTTTGAAGTTGGGGCCCCGACCTAGTACACGGATACCATGTAGAAAAGAGTGGATCTGTCAAGTTCTCATTAGTCAAGATGGTTTACTCTCTTGCTGAGAAGCTGCAACTCCTGTACTGGGAGGAGAAAGAAGGAAATAGGCTTAAAAGAATGGTTTGAAGTTGGGGCCCCGATCTAGTACACGGATACCATATAGAAAAGAAGATAATGGCAAAAGCTTGATTCATTTCTCATTTATTTAACGGTTATTTATACATAGGGCTAACTAAGCAACATTAGGAATATATACAAGTCTACAATGAGAAATAATTACAATCCTTTCTTGCAAAATTGTGAAGAGGGCAACTCATGGATTTATGGTCCAACAACCGTCATACATGCTCCCTTTGAATCCATGGTCTTTGGTCCTACAGCTTAGCAATCTGTGAGATGAAGGATGTTATCTATGAACGTATCAAGAGGCTGGCTTCCTGATTTCCTTTCTGAATCCTACAATCTTTAAACAATGTGACATTCTTTTGCACCCATTATTGAATTTATATCACTTTGCAACGCTTTAAATTGCAGGTTAGTTAAAAAATATTTGGAAGAAACTTGAGATGATGCTGATACAAGTATAAATGATAACACTCCAGCTGAACTCAATATCGATAGAGCTATTAGTTTCCTCCAACTGTTTCATAATGCCAAGTTGGATAATTTAGTAATCCACAAAACCTGGATCTAGTTATACAAAATTCAAAAAAGGATAATATCTTCATAAATGCCACTGATCCCACTAAAATAGGAGGGTATGCATATTTTTGTCTTCTAAAATGTGTCCCACTGCTCAAACTTCAAATAGCTTCCTTTCATGAGCCCAGAAACTTATCTCCTCTCCCCAAATTTAGCAATAGGAACAAATGCAAGATCCATGACTTGTTAGTTCTACCAGGCCTTCAGAAAACAGTGATAACTGGGCAAGCGCCCCATCTTCTCCCCTACTTCCTTAGGTGTTATTAACATGATAAATGGTTCTTCTTGTAGCCATGTGCCTCAAGTTGTTAATTATTCCCACAATGTTGTTCATACACCAAACCCTAAAAGTAACAACGGCTTTAAGATCTATGAAGCTGTTCTTGAGACACCACTCCCTTATAATTCGGCCACACCTATTGCTATGGTTTTACCATGGTGCAATGTAAAAGAAGCAGTAAAAACAAAAGAAGCAATACTACCTCCTCCTTTAGGCATCTACCAACTCTAGATATGGTACTACAAACTATTACTTTTAATAGTGGAAATCAGTTCAAATTTGAAATAAATCAATGTACGTAGATGTTACATTTGGTCTAAGGATTAGTGCCAACTTCCATTTGATTAATGTGTTCAAATTTATGGAATCACAATTGAACAATAGATGCATAGTGCCACCTCCTCATATAAATGATTTATTTTTTAACAATACTTGAAGCATTTCATTTTTGTTATAATGGTTTGATCCTCTAACCTCCTTATTGGAGTTGCTAATACAATCCACTTATTATTTTTTTATTAACTATGTTTATTTTTTAACAATACTTGAAGCATTTCATTTTTTTTATAATGGTTTGATCCTCTAACCTCCTTATTGAAGTTGCTAATTCAATCCACTTATTATTTTTTTATTAACTATCTTTCTTAACTGATATCATAAGTTTAGTTGAATTAAGCTTGATTTGATACCTGAGATCAAATTATACAAGCAACTTAATATAATTCTTTGATTATGGAAGGAACTACCTTTTTTCTTTCGGTAATCTTCACTATTGAGAAATAAAATTTATTTGCTTTTAAGAAAAATTAAATCCACAAGTTTAATTGAATATATTCTTCTAATAAAAAAATTGAAGCTAATAAAAAGCAGTAAAAAACTAAAGCCCCATGAAGGCAGGGAAAACGATGATGAAGGTCTACTAACTATGTAATTTCTTCTTAGTACCTAATGCTCCAAATTGACAATCTTATAGTTACTATTCTCTTTGGCATCCACAAACAGCCTTAAATGCCAGGCTATTCATTTTTGGCATATATCCTTCTAAGCAATTCATCCATTCACGTTAAAATTCTGTAGCAGAAGAAGGCAATCATCTAGAAATCTAATTTATGCAATTAACTTCAAACCCATACCCATGGCATATATCCTTCTAAGCAATCATTTTCACATTAACTCTTAACTCCATTAGATTTCGTTTTGCATCCTCATCTATCCATCCTAAACATTTTGATCTATTTTCAACTTCTTATTCCCAGTTGTGCTAAGGCACACTTTCTCTAATATGCTTATTTTTCATTTCACCTTCGTAAATTTATCAAAGATTATTCTTAGCACTGCGTTCTGCTTTGCATAAGTTGCTCATACGCGCCTTCTATGAAGCCGATCAATCAAACGGATATGTCATTGTACTCAGTTATGCATGCAAACTAGCGCCTCAAAAAAATGGAAACGAAAGCGAAAAAATGCAGATAGCATTTCTCCTTCTCATTTCATGAAACTGTCTCCATTGGATTTAACCCTGAAGCAAAAGATGAAAGCTTTAAGGAACTTGAAAACAAGTAAAAAATCAGTGTTGTTTAACCAAAATCAAGCGAAATTTCTAGGGAAGCAATGGACGAAAAATTAAAAAAAAAATTAAAAAGCCCGAGTGAATAAACATGGAAACTAAAAAAAAACCAAGAAAAGCGACCTCCGTTCAGGAGCGACGCGAACTCGCGGCAGCGAGGGTGGCGCGATCTGCAACCGACGCCATTCACCCAGCTTCCCTCGCTGAAATATTACATCATAGTCGTCGGCACTGCTTCCCCATCATTTGGAGCTTTCAAAGTAGAATTAAGGTGGTCTTCGATAGCTTGTTATTATTAGAAATTAATCATGAATTTAACTTAAATACAGTAGTCTAAAATAGGGTGGGGGGGGGGAGAAGGGTAAATTTCGAGCTCAAAAAGTGTGTTCGTGTTCCGCTCGTTTATATTTCGAGCTCAAAAAGTGTGTTTGTGTTCAGCTCGTTTGCTTAAAGAGCCGAACACGAGTTGTTTACGAACAAAGAGTCTTTTTAACAACCCTATTCATATAGTCATAAGACATAAACAATAAGGGTTTGAGCAAGATTTAAAAATTGTTATTTATATTAAAACATCATTTGAATCAATTCTACGTGCGTAGTACTGATGTAATATTTTTTCGCTTCCCTCGCCTATTCGTCGGCACTGCTTCCCCATCATTTGGAGCTTTCAAAGTAGAATTAAGGTGGTCTTTGATAGCTTGTTATTATTAGAAATTAATGATGAATTTAACTTAAATTCAGTAGTCTAAAATAGGGAGTGTAAACGCACGTGTTTGGCTCGTTTATATTTCGAGTTCAAAAATGTGTTCGTGTTCAGCTCGTTTGTTTAACAAGCCGAACACGAACTGTTCACGAACAAATACTCATTTTAACAACCCTAATCATGTAGCCATATGAAAATAAGGGTTTGAGCAAGATTTAAAAATTATTATTTATATTAAAACATCATTTGAATCAAATTTAATAATTTTTATTCTATTTTCTTAATCAATATTTTAATTGATTGTAAATCTTTGTAGCTTTGTAGTCAATTAGGTTTTTTTAAAATACTACTTTATATATATATATATACTTGATGAGTAGTATTTCGAGCCAAAACGAGCTGAACACGAACGAACACATCTTAGTTTGTGTAATTCGTGTTCGGCTCGTTAACTTATCGAACGAAGTTAACGAGCCGAACACAAGCTATTCGCGAACAACGAGCCGTTTTGACAGCCCTAGTCTAAAATATAAAAATTAAATTCAATCCTAAGTTGAATCAAATCTTCTCGTGTTTCGTCTTTTTATTTCTGTATTCCCACTTTTATTACGTAAACCCAATTACGGGACAAATTTATTCTTGCGATGCTTGTGAGCTCTTTCATCACATATTAGGTTCCATATATCTTAATTTATTGGATTTGATAAATCTTATTTAACGTAAATTTGTTTGATTATTCAACTTAATTCTCGACCTATCAAGGAGGGTTTCTTTTTATTGGCTTAGTAAGGTGTTATTACATTTTTCTTCAACTAGAAACTCAAATTTGAAGTGGGAATTAATAAAATGAGCAAAACATTAGCTAGAAATAAAATGAAATATCTCAATGAGTTACCTTCCAGTAGTCATCTTACCAAAAAAAATACAAATTAATCATTAAAGCATGGCTGATTAATATCTAACTAGTTAATTAATCATTAATTACTTTATATTTATTAACAAAAAACTATTTGTGTTGCTTTGTGAGTTCATTCCACTAACCATTTTAACAGTACCCAAACATGTTCCCCATGTCTTTTCTATTTTTCTTTCCAATTTTTGAAAGTAAGTCAAGTTGTGAAGTCAATTGCTTTATCTCATTATCACTCATTTGAGCATCAAAATTGTGATGCATAAACTTGGTCATGTCATGCATGTAGCACATGTCATGGATGTAGCACAACATGGATGTGTCATATCAGAAGTTATAATATTTATATGGAAATCCAAAACAATGGATCTTGCTGGCCAAGTATAGCTCATTATCTTTATATGCATATTATGACACATAGTAAGCAATATGTCCAATTACACAATAATTAATAACAAGCCATACAATTTATTTTGGTGATTCACCTCTCACTCTCTCTCTGTGAACCGAGAAAAAATAGTAATTTCTTATTCTTTCAGCTTAGGATTTTGCTTGATTTTTAAGTACAATGCATTTCTTTGATCTCTTATTTTATGACATTCAAGTAGCTATTCATATTATAGGCAATTAAGTCTTCCATGAGCAAATGTAACATTTAAAAATCAATTGTATTTTCATAAAACAACACACTTCAATCAAAAAAATGTTGTAATTGTTCATTTTCATTAGAAAAATAATCGGCTACACATTTGCTAAAACACTTAAACATAATTGATTCCATGAATTATTAATTAACTTGGTATTTCTATGCTTTCATTAGAGAGGAAGTATTGGGTGATCTATTTCACATTCCTTTTTTGACATTTTTAGTTCTTGAATTATAGGTCTTATTTTGTGTCTTAATTTATACATACAAGGAAGTATATTATATAGTTTACATCAATGAAAATATACAATTTATAGTTATAGAATTTTCTATATTCACATTATCTCCAAGTAATGCAAGCTACACTAAAGCATTGTGTCACAATAGAAGTTGTAATCAAGTATATTTATGTGATAAAATAAATCCAGGTTAAAAATTTAAAAACAAACTTAATTTAAATATGTGTATGATTATGGGGGTACAATCACATATATTTTGAAAATCTTTACTCAAATAATCGAATAAAATATTAAGAATAATATATTTTCTCAACATATATAAAGACTATTATGTAATAGATTCAATCACTAAAAAAATATGAAAATTTATGAGACTAAATAAAACAGATATTTTTTTCCTACCTAATTTAGTAAGATATGATTTATTTTATTATAGAATGGTGGTTCCTTGTATGCCAAATTTCAATAGTTTAATACATCTAAGAGTGAAAATCTTCTAATAAGACTGTTAATTAAAATAATGGCTTGTGTCTCTTTAAATTTCAAAAATTTTGCTTTCAAGTTGTTGTTCCAAAATTCAATTTGGAAAGATTACGTTTCAACATTTTTTTTATTCCAAAGAATGATAGGCAGAAAGTGCTTGAATACTGAGAAGCTTATCACTCCAATTATGTTATGTTGTGCTTTATAATAATAAAATTGAGATTTATTTTGATTGATTTATTTTGATTTAAATTAGTTATTTTATTAAAAAGTTATGACATGTGTTATTATTATAAAATATTATGAAAAAGCCTAAGAAATGAGGACTTGTGACATTGGTTAAAAATTTGTCTCATAACTTACGTTCGAGATAGACTTGTAGTTACAATAAGATCTAATATGTGGGTCAAGTGAATATGATAGATTTGTAATGTTTAATCCTAACTAAGTCTAAAACAAATCCAACTCTACAAGACTTACAATCATGCATGAAAATGAAAGTCAGCTGAACACACATAATTGTTTCAAAAATATGAAGTATGTCATAATAAAATACAAAATAGGTGTGATTACTATTTATTAGAAGTGAAAGTAGAATTTTTAAGTTGATTATTAGATTCAACCTTCCTCACTATGACTAATGTACAGTATTTTGAGTTATCATGCGACAAGTAAACGCCAGCAACAAATGAGTTTGTATCAAGTCAAAGGAAACCTATAAAAAGGATTTACACCTTACTCGAGGGGCACTGACTGAGCACGCATGCGAACATGCAGGATATGCAATAAGCAAACAGGGAGTGCACCAAAAGTGGTGAGAGTGAGTATATCGTAAAAGAAGTGACTAAAAAATGATGGGCATGTCGTGAAAGCAACAACCCAAAAGATAGGTATGTCGAGGAGGTAGTGACCCAGAGGCGAGAATGGCAAGGCAGCAACGGCCCAAACAAAAGGGTATGCCAATGAGGTAGTGACCCTGAGGTGGGCATGGTGTGGTGACAGCGACTCAAACAAAAGAATATGCCAAGGAGGCAGTGACCCGAAGATGGGCATGTTGTGGCGATGATGACACAAACAAAAGGGTGTGCCAATGAGGCAGTGACTCAAAGGTGCTCATGCCATGGCGACATCAGCCCAAACAAAAGGGTATGTGACCAAAGGAAAATATGTTGAGATTTTCATACTTATTTTATACTGTTTTTGATGATATTGCACTTTAAAGAAAGGTATTTTTGATGTTTTGTTGCAGGAATAAGGAATTATGGTCATTGGAGCAAAAAGATGAAAAAAGGAGCAAATTTGGAGCGAAAAGAACCAAAATGTGAAGATTTGAACTATGTCGCCGACGGCGCCCTCGACGCCGCCGACGACGAGATTTTCCCAAGACTACAGGACAAAAATTCTCTAAAAAACCGCCGACGGTACCCTCGAGGCCGCCGACGGCGAGATCGACGGTTATGCCTACTCAAGCTTTGGATAAGGCCAAATTTTGAAGGGATGCTTAGGCAACTTTGGAGAAAGCTCATCCATAACTTGAAAAGAACATTTTGGCCAAAAAATAGAAGAGGGAGATAGTGTGCTAGAGGTCCTGGAGGTTAGAGAGGTTCCATTAGTGTGTAACAATTATGATGATTTCTTCGAGAGATTGTAAAAGTGGAGGGAAAGTGAGAGATTTCTTCCTC